ACTATTTAAGATTCGGAGGACGGATAACTATTGGGTTTTTTTTCGTCTCGCCCAGCAATAATTGTCATCTTCTAAAACATGCGTTATTCCTCATGGCTGAGGCTATCAGAATCGACAGATCAACATGAAAAAGCAGATAAGTATTTGCTCTTGGACTTACACGACGACGCACGAGATTGATTTATGCATGAGCGATTTTAGCTGTGCATAATCAGTCATCAACATTGTGGAACTATCGGCAACGTGAAGAAAATGTAACTTGATAGTTGCGCAGTTCCTCTCGTGTCTTCTTAGGCGGCGACGACATGCGGCGATCAAAAATTTCACTACTAGTCTCCGGAATGACTTGTAGGAAGCGCGCGCCGAGACCGATGGTGGATGCATCGGTGTGAATGATGTAAGGTTTCCCTAGAATAGGGGGTACTAAAACAGGCACATCCACTAGTGCTTGTTTCAGTGGTTTAAATGCTTTTTGTTGTTCCTTCTTCCAAATAAACTCAACATTTTTGGGAAGAGTGGTTAATGGATGGTAATTAAGGCAAAACGTGCGTAAATCTTCGAAAGTACGATGGGACCTAAGAATGATTTTAGCGCTTTATTGACTTCGGGGCGCGGAATTATATTAGCTATACCCTCGACCTTTCTTTCTGTAGTTAGGGCGTGTACTCTTTTTGCTGAATAGTACACCCAGATGCTGCACTCTAGATTGGAAAAAAATGCGCACATGAGAGGTCAACTCTATTCCAAAACTTTTTTTTTTGTAATTGCAAGCGAAGACCAGTGAAAGGTCATTGATCTTTACTAGATCCTTTCTTTGCAAAAATTATGATAGAAGTTGACTTGCGTGCTAGGTCCGACTGAACGTTCCGTAACATTTATTCCTTCTGGAGCTATATTTCATTTCTCTTTTGCAATGCGACACTGTATAGTCGCTTTTTGGAGCTATGCCAGAAATAAATTTGATGCGAATAGTAAAGGACCTTTATAGGGACCTAATCACCATCATGGATGACAAAAGCAGAGTGGTACTTCATCAAAAGTTGGAAAAATACGTTTTTTTTCAAAAAGTAGTTTCGTTGATCTGAAGATCATCATTGTTACTATCTTTTTCAGATGGATGCTTATTTGTACGACTTGAGATAGTAATGCCCCCTAGGTAACTAGTGTATTAAACCAGATTACTTAAGAGTAGACGATGCGGCAGATAACGGTCACGATTGTTGTTGCTAAACGCTTATCACAATCACAAAAGGTCAGTATGCGCAATTAACGTATTTGCTAGACCGTGGCGCGCAAATATTATTAGTCTGCGGCGAGGTCAAATGCTTACACCACTGACAAGCTGCTGCGCTACTTTATCACCAGAAAAGGTCGACACGCTCGGACAGTTGCACTCGTTTTGTTATAATGCCTAGAAGGTCAAAGCATTTGCGCTATATCACTAGCTACTCTAATTATCGACTTTTCCCATCAGAGGATTATCTGTAAAAGGGCCAGTAGTTAACTGGATCGAAATTAACTCAGATCTGTAATTTTTATGCTAGCGAATGCGAACAAGTCCATTGTCTTATTGAAGAAGAAGAAAAAAAATATATCAATTGATGATCACGGATCACGGTTGCAAAAATAATAAAATCACGGCTCGCGGTATTTTATCTAGATATTCACGGATCACGGCTCACGGATCACGGAATCACGGACATGTATTTTTACCAAAAAAGTCACGGATAAGCTTTTTTCCAAAAAAAATCACGGCAATCACGGATTCACGGCTCGGCTATTTTATCTAGATATTCACGGATCCCGGTAATTTACTAAGCGAAAATTGACATAATGGGACTGTTCGCAGGACTGTATATTTTTATTTTATTTTATTTTTTTTTTCTGAAATGATTAGATATTTGTAGAATTATTGATAAATATGTAAATAGAATAGTATAAAACTCACACACTCTCTCTCATTCGTTGGTGAGCGACTCCTTCCATACCATCGGAGGGTTGTAGAAGAGGGGGGATTTAAATTTTCAAATCCCTTATCAAAAGTTCTAGAATTAAATTTGATCTTAAAATTCTAAAAAAATATCTCCCTGGGACTTCCATGTCAGGATAAAGGCTAGCTACTCCTTTACCTGATGATGTAGCGGGTTTACATAAGTCTTACTCTAATATTTATTATACAAGATATATACAGAAGGGGAAAGGGAAAGGGGAAGAGAGCACCGGCTCCTGCCGGCGGGCGGAGGTCACTGCCAGTGGTTCGCTATCTTAGGGCAACCTCCATCGCGAGCAGCTGTTAGGTAATAGCTGCGTCCCGACATCCTCGAACAGCAAATCGAAACTCTGAGCTTTAGATTTGGAATTCGGGACTTTGAAATCGGAACTCCTAGTTTCAATACGCAAAAATGTAATCAAAAAGGGAATCCAGAGTTATCTCTGTGTTAAGGCGGAGCTTTGAAATCGGAATTTCGACGGGTAGGGGAACGAAAGTCGCCACAGCTAGTCCTGGAACGACATGCAACAGCACTGCGAAAGGACTAGTTGGCCGCGAAAGGCGGCTAACTGGCGCCTTCGTTCCCTTAGCCAATTCCGACTAGATTACTACCGACTCAGAAGTTATGAAGTTTTGAAAGGGGTGCGACAGAATTTTCGGGCGACAGTGATGTTTGAAGCAGCTCATAGGTTCGAGCAATTCTAGATGATCCCTGGTGGCTGCGTTGTGCCCGCTGAGACCAACAACACAAAGACCATATGCGAGATTGATGAAGAGAATAAACGCTAATATCAATGAATAGAACCACGGATGAGCCTCGCTAAAAGGCATTGGTGCGGTGGTTGCTTTGCAAGGAAAAAAAGGAGCCTGAAGAAAAGGGCATTCTAGCACACTTCCCAAGTTTGGCACCTTTGACTGCTAATTTTTTTCAAAGAAATATAATCTGTTGCAGCAGGGTGTATAATATTTTCCGTCTAATGAATGCTTCACACCCAGTCATCTCCGTAACACATTCATTCCGCAAGGATCCAAGAAGCTATGCGAGAAAAATAAGCTAAAAAATTTATGAGATCTTTGACTGCTCATGAATATCAAACTAATAAAGTCCGCTACTTCTATCAGCATCCGTATGTAATAAGCCTGGAGATCCTTGTGCTGTTGAAGGCAGAGTCTCGGCAAAGTTCCGCTCCCCCCTTTTTTCACATCTTCAGAGCCTTCTCGCCATGCTGAGCCGGCAAAAATAAGCTTCTTTCAAAGCTTTCCATGTCGCGTTTGCTGCAAATTACGTGTAAGGAGTGGGCGGATCCGGCAGACTTCCGGAGCGGATTTTGGGCTTTCCAAAAGCGCTTTTGGGGACGAGTGGCGTAGTGGTACGAGGCGCCGCTATGACCAGATCGGACACGGTTCGATCCACGTATCTGGGCCAACCAAGCCCTCTACCTTCCGGGGGCCGGTAACTTGGTACCAAAGTAATCTGCGAGGATAAAAGCACTGGCTTGGTAAACAGCTGGCCTCCGCAAGTCACTGTATTATGCTCGCAGGCATACAGTTGTCTCTTCGACTATGAAGTTAGTGTGTGCGTTCGGCGCATGCCCTCAGAGGTTATTGAAGACGCCGAATCCTTTATCCTTTTTTTGAAAGCGCTTTTTTACAGTCTTCACTGATAGACTATCTGGAGGGTCTACCATTGACTGTAAAATCCCGGTACCATTTCGAAGGGTCGCTGCCTTCAAAGAAGATTCAACAAGTATCAAGATTTACAGTCTAGTAGATTTTCCACTTAATGTAGTGTACCATAAGCTCTCCGATTGCCGCGAGGGCGGCTTCGGGCGAGCGTATCAGCGATGCGATTGCCTGTGTTGAAACTTAGCTGGTTGACGGTACCGGTTGAAGATCGCGACCGCCCTCGCAGCAATCGGGGAGCTGCGTGAACAAATAGCTGCGCCTGTGACGCCAGCCAAGGCCGTAGCTATTTTTTTACTCGCAATTTTACCGCATTTTACCTTCAGTGCAAGCACACAATATTGAGTGGAAAATCTACTCGACTATACAATAAATAATTTCAATGCTGATTTTTCTTGAGACCTGTACATAACAGACTCTGCAACAAACAATAACATTACTGTAACTTAGCCATTATCAGCATATAATTTACCTATTCACTTATCGTGACACCTGTCGCTCTCCTTCAATCCTCCATTTGCGGTCTACGATAAGATTACTAATTTCAAAATCGGAAGTGCATAAGGAACATTGATGCTTTGCAACGAACAATATTCTTACTGTAACATTGCCAATCTGTAAACACGTATTAGCAATCTGTAAACACTTATTGTGACATCTGTCGCCCCCTCTAACCCTCCATTTGCGGTCTACGTATCAATTTCAAAACTGAAAGTGCATAAAAAACCAACCTACCTCCAGTGCTCACACCTCGAGCATGGAAATAAGACTACTCTATTCCGTCCCTTCTCTTATTACTTGCTTCCTCGTGCTGGTAGCCTTAGTCAAGGAGAGGAGTGGGGCCATTCAAAGCACAAGATATTTCTACCTCTTGCTCATTGCACAATCGATATTTGTGAGTTGTGTACATTTGAAACTGCATAGTTGTAGAAGCTTACTTCAGAATATCCTGGCATTTATGATTTCTCTTTATATCAATACGGGAACTACTACCAGTACCGGAAGCTCTTTGAGCCCCCTTTATGCAAAAACACCGACTTTTGTCTGCTCTTTTGTGAGTTTTTATCGTGACTTCCTCATAAGAGTGACAAAGAAGTGTGCAGAGGTGGAGATACAAAATTCTCATAAAAACTCACAGATTTTATGCAGCACTTTGAATTAATGATCGGAATTATTTGTACTCTTCGAATAAACCTCAGCCATAACGCCTAGCACATATATGTTAAAACTCATTCACTTCCAGTTTTTTGGATTTCAGGTTTATGGAACTGCCTATCATATGGTTTTTATAGAGATGTACATGACTTTCTTCATTTCCTTATATAGAATGACTATGATAACACATCCAGTGGTCCATGTGAAGGTTTGCATTTATTGCCATCCCATATATATGATATCATCATATGATAAAAAAAAATTTGATGCGTCATGAAGGGTCATAAGTCCGACTAACCTAGCTCCTTAGATGCAAAGAGACTTCTTATAGAGAGTGAAATACATGAGGTATAACTTGCAATATCGAACATCTTGGTACGCTTTTTAGATATGGAGAGTAATTCTTCCGATCAGCATTACTATAACGTTGTTGTCGCCCTTGCTCTGTACATACAATTTATATGCACGGAAATGCTTCTTCGAGATAATTGGCGACTGTTTTTACATCAACTCTGATAATATGGTAAGTAACGCAGCGAACATTATTCATTGTGTTAATTTTGTTGCAGGATGGTGTTCGAACTCTAATGACAGAACTCTTGATTTTTCTATGTGTATTAATGTTAGTTTCAATGTTGGTCAACATCGCTTCCGTAGTGGTTCTCTGCATGCGCAGCAGTGTCTACGACAAAAACAAAATTGAGAGAAATATGCTCATTTTGGCGATTTTGGATTTCCTTGTCAAAGCCGTTTACTTTGCTCTTTACGTGAGTCCGGAGAAACTGCATCCAGTACCTCCATTTCTGATACTATAATATAACATAATATATAATTTATAATATATACATATTGACAAAAAGAATCTCGGTCCGGCTTCTTTTGAAAAATATTGGAGCAGAAGATATTTCAATTTTGAAAAAAGGCAACAAATCAAACATACTTGTTCTTTCATTTCAGGTTGTCATATACACCAACACAGCTTCATTCATCGCTGTCAAAGTGAACCCATATGCATCAGACCTCCTTACTTTCTCGAATGCGTATCTGCTTATAATTCTAAATAAACGAATCCGTGAGCGAATTCGTTCTTTCTTCCGATATCCAAGTAAGTCAAGCCGTCTCACCTTTTCTATTGTTATCAAATTAGCGAAATTTTTTCAGAGAAAGGACAACAATTTGTTGTAACGAAAACTTTTGTTGCAAACAGTTTGCAGCAAGCTCGCTGAACTTTCTTGGAATAAACGAATTTATTTTTTCATATTTCACTGCAGCACCTTCTAATCACATAGAGCATATACTGTGTATGAAATTGCTCAAAGCTTTTCTTCTATAGAAAGCCTACGTGAGGTTCCATTCCTTATGCACAAGACTTCTTTATGGCGTAAACGCTGAAATTGATTTTCCTTTGAGACAGCTATCCTTTTAATTCTTTAAAATTTTAACAGTGGGACGTAATAGACAGAACGTTACCTGAGAGACACTGCAGCTGTGCAGGAATGAAGAGCAAGAGTTTGAGGTCTTTGAATTCAAAGTTAATTTCAACTTTGATTCATGTGTTATCAGCTCATACCCCCGTATCACCGTCGGGTCGTGTTGCACCAGTGGGTGTCAGAGATTCATTCACTCGTCATTACCGCGAGGATTGTTGACAACATTTACATACATACCAGAAGCGTGAGAAGGTACAATACTACCACTATAATATCAATAGTACAGGTTATATACCAGAAGGGGAAAAAGAAAGAGAAAGGCAATCGGTTAGTGCCGGCGCCCCGAGATTACTGCCTGAGCTCGACTCCTTAGCACAACCTGTTCCGATGAAGTGATGCAGCCTATCCGTATTTCGACACCTTAACCACGTATTCGTCCTGCTTACTTCTTGTTTCCGGGTAGATGGACGAATACCTCAAGTCGCCTTTCCGCATAAGTTTTCCGCAAGCTATTGCATATCTATGGGTGCCATAAGTTGGCAAAAGCGGCACCTAGTTGATCTTTATTCCTCTGCGCTTTTCCATAACCTCCGTTCGGTTGGGCATAAAAGGTGAATTTACATACGATTGCTAAAGGAACAAGATTTTCTAAAACTAGAAACTTCGCTAAACCTTTCCTTGAGCGAGTTTGACATTGTGGAACGTTAGATTCTATTGATCACATATATCTTATATATAAAGCTGAATGTCTGTTTGTATGTCTGTCTGTCTGTCTGTCTGTCTGTATGTGTGTACGTATGTTCCGAATAGAAAATTCCATTTCTGAACCGATCCGGACCAAACTTGGACATACACTTCGGGCCCATGCGGGTGTCATAGGCTACTTTTCGTCATCGATCGATATCGATTTTATCGATTTTATCGATTTTATCGATTTTTTGCAAAATTTGAGCTACGGGGCTGGGAGTTGGCGGGGGGGGGGGGGTGATCGAGCATGCTGATTACGAATATAATAATGACAGGGCCGGGCGGAGCCGGGTAAGTCAACTAGTATTTTATATGCGCCAGTGATGATGGGCGAAAAATAAATGTGATTAGTGGTATGTTGACATTGTAACCTCTGGCTGAACTGTTAGGCTTACACTAATGAAGCGTAGTCCCTGCTTTGATAATTCTACTGATGAGTAGGAAATCACCCTTGCTAAATGCATGCCACATGTCTGAAGTAGTATTTAGTAGAAGTAGATTGGATAAGAGTCCTTACAGGCCACAAGTGACTAGTAAAGAAAACCATCTATTGAACTTGGATGGCGCAGAAATACTCGACAATTTTTCCCAATATACAGGGTGTCCCAAAAAACACTGTTTGATCGTTAATAACTTCCTTGCTTTTATGTCTTCCGCCGAGCTTGAGGCACCATTCTATAGAGCGAGGCCTAACTTAAATCTACAGTATGGAGCGAGTCGTCGATCGCTCTTCATTACTGTAGGATTACGGTAGGAACTTTGACAAGGATTCTAAGCCGTTGAAAGCCATATTCTGCCTCGGAACAAAACCAAACAAGCCAAAAACTTTTATACATGGGTAATGGAAGCCGCTGAGTTCGAATATGAAATTTTCACTTCACTGTGACGCTTTCTTCTGAGGTTATCCCAGGTAAACCTTAATAACCGAATTTCCAGCATTTGTCAAAAATGTGATTACACCGTCAAAAAAGCTAAAAACACCCGTAAAAAGGTGCGTTATGGAATCAGCGTGCGCGAAACCCTTAGTAAACGATTTTTCAGATTTTTTGAAAAGAAATTTGTCAAATGGCATATTTCACAAGAGATCCACATGCCAGAATTTCATACCGTAATCCTACAGCAATGAAGAGCGATCGGGATTCGCTCCATGCCGCAAATCTAAGTTGGACCTCGCTCTACAGAATGGTGCTTCAAGCTCGGCGGAAGACATAAAAGCAACGGAGTTATTAACGATCAAACAGTGTTCACATTTTTTTGGGACACCCTGTATAAGGCGAGATAGGTGAGGTGTGAATTATAATCGAATCACTTCATACCATGTGTGTCACTGCAGACACTATCCACCTCTGAGTTCCCATCCTGGATTCCTGGAGAAGACAACCCTTCATTCAAGCATTTCCGATGTGTTCTTTATGTTTGTTTTATGTCGCTAGCGACAACAAGAAAACAAGTCGCCGAAAACAGCGCGACCGAGTGATTCAGGGTGGCAGCTGCACCAGATGGTTGCGACTGATGACATCGACTGATTCCGACCATGAGAAGCTTCATTTGGTGTTTCGCTCACCTAGGCTCTGCTTCGCACAAATATTTAGTTGAATGTTTTGGATTTTTCGTGAAAGTAGAATACCCCTAAACAAGTATTATCACAAGTTTCGGTGAAGAAAGAAAAAGACCAAATAAGTAGCCTCCCTCTATCTGCTAAAATTCATTAACTGTATCACACATCCGCATTTGCATTTTTGCACTTGTATTTTGCATTTCTAAATGAAAAACGTTTCCCAGTTTTCATCTAGCCAGATACTCTGCTTATTTCACTTGTTATCTTTTGCAGAAATTACTAGTGAACCAGTAATTGAAGGTGCTAGCAGCATGCGCGCGCTTCGGGACCGCAACGCGGTTTCCCGCTATTTGCAGATTTTTGAATTGCGCTTACATTTCTTTCCATATTAGACTAGTGAACCAGTAACTAAAGGCGCTAGATTGCATCCGCTCGTTTCGGGACCGCACCGCGGATTCCCGCTATTTGCTTATTTTTGAATTGCGCTTACGCTTCTTTATATATTAGATAGTGTTATCAATCCTCTGTATAAATTTGTTGGCGCTATTCGGCTATCCGGGCCCCAAAATTTTTTTGTCATGGATTTCGCTCAAACTTGGCCCGAGGGGGTTATCTGACATGCTGATCACGAATATCACCTTCTCTCCGCAGGAAAACGCTTCCCTGCAGGGTTACGGTAGGTGTACGGTAGAGGGTCACAATCATAGATTTATCTGAAACTTGGCCCAGAGGGGTTATTCGGGCCGCTGATGCTGAATATCACATTGGTTTTGTACCGTAGCGTCACTTTCTCGGGTTACGGTGGGTATACGGTAGGGGTCAAAATCTCAAAATCTGCCGTAACTTCGCACAGACGGGTTATTCGACATGCTGTTTAGAGCTGTCACACTTTCTCCACGCGAAGACGTCTCCCTGCATAGTTATGGTAGGTTTACGGTAGGGGCCAAACTCATAAATCGGCAAATATATCTTTCCCCTGTGCTTTGCTCAGGCAAAAGCCGCAGCAGGGTGTGTAGCGCGCGGCGGTGGTCGTGTGTGCAAAGCTTCACGATCATCCGAATCGCCGTACACCCGTTTCAGGCAGAACTATGTTTTACACCCGTTACCGTGTAGCTACCGTGATCCGAGAAAATGACGCTACGGTTCAAAACCAATATGATATTTGGCATCAGCGGGCCGAATAATTCCTCTGGGCCAAGTTTCGGGCAAATCTATGATTTTGACCCTCTACCGTATGCCTACCGTAACCCTGCAGGGAGGCGTTTTCCTGTGGAGAAAAGATGATATTCGTGATCAGCATGTCAGATAACCCTTCTGGGCCGAGTTTGGGCGAAATCCACGACAAAAAAATTTTGGGGCCCGGATAGCCGAATAGCGCCTATTTGTTTGTTAATTGAAGTAAACGATTTAATTGCCCAAGTTTGAGAGGTGTGTGTGGTCGAGGCCAGCGAGCAGTTGTTTTTTGTGGTATCCTCGAACGGTATTAGAATATTATAGTCCTGACCACATAGTATCTCGTTCCACATTCATTATAGATTATAACTTTAGCTTTTCAACAAATACATTCTTCATGCAAAGTAACAAGTGATCTGTTAAGATCTTCCATTTGAATGAAAACTTTCAGTTGGAAGACCTTAACAGATCACTTATCTTACTGAATTTCGAGTTATGCGAATCAGCAGTAACGGGGCTGTGGGACGACTGCAAGATTCTGCAAACAGAGAGTCAAAACCAAATATCTATTAAAATAAATAAAATACCCTGGACTAAAGGAAAGTGATCCTTTCGAAATCGCGAAGGAGCTAGTATTGTCTGAGGGGCGGCGGTCAAGAATAACGATAGCTCTGCCAGCCGCTAGCTGCCAGCTGCTCGCGCGCGCAGAACAGTCCCTCCTTATTCACGCACTCAAGAAAAATGATTTGAACTCCAAATATTTTCATTGAAGTTCCTTCTCTAGACCAAACATGGAAGCTTATATATTGTCTGAGGTGAACGAGTTGCGTTGCATTTTGTATCCGATCTGGAAGCTTTCAGCAAAAGGTGCTCCTATGCAGTGATGTCCGAGTGGTTAAGGAGTTGGACTTGAAATCCAATGGGCATTGCCCGCGTAGGTTCGAACCCTGCTCGCTGCGAACGTTTTGACGTGTTGCTAAATAATATCCTTGATAATTCAGATAATTCGATGTAAATAAAAATTGTAATTCAGGTAATTCGATGTCATTCTTAAATTTTTACCCTATGGAACTATTAGCTAGTTCCATCTAACAAGACAATGCATTTTTACTACGTGAATCTGAAGGTTGCACTTCACTTCTCTTTCGCCATTTCGAGAATGGCTCTGCTTGTACTCGTCAACCAAGCAAATTCGATACTGTGGTTATTATAACTTACTAATAGCAGACGTGAAGTCTACGAGTTTTTTATGTCTCTTTAATGGCTGAAAGTGTTTTGTAATCATCATGTCATAGTCTTGGATATTACCCGATCAGGAAAGATACGCAGAGATTGGAATTAAGAATTTTGATGCACAGAAAGTCACTTACGAAAAATGATGCAAACAAGCACAGGGTGGTCGATCTCAGCAGTCTCAATATTCTGTTGCACTCCCCGCTCCTTTCTTAATTTGCACTTCCTTATATAAAAATCTCTAGAAGCAATCTTGGGAAAATATTCTCGATTTGAATAATTAATCATTCTAAATACAGCTTTCTAAATGGGTATATCTGATCTAGAAAGACTATAAAATTAAAACCGATGATGAAATTGTCTGTCTTATGTCAAAAGAAATGCGGTAGGCTGTCTTAGACCCGGTGAAGTCAGGCTGAAAGCCTGTCGAAGATGCCAGTCAAGCAGCTGTTGTTTTGACTGAAGGACTGGCTGTGGCGCTTCAACGTCACTCACAATCAGTTGGATCAGTTAGTCGATAGTATTTTTATACTTTGCAGAACATTCAAGACGTCATGTTTATTTTGTACAAATAAACTCGTGTACAATCGATTCGATCTTGAGCAGAGCATTGATAAGTGAACATACATCAACTGGAAGTAGCAGTCTCTCTCACAGATCGGAAAGAAGAAGAGAAAAAGGCAGAGCTAGACGAAATAATAGAGGTTTTGAAAAATAGTGAATATACTCGTTGCGATTCTTTGAGACTGAACTTCCGGTTGACTTTTGCGATGTGCAAAGAATAAGAGAATAGTGTAATGTGATAATGCCAAAAGTGACAAATCGCGAGGATTTTTGGGCGTTACATGTGATAAAGAATTTTACAAAGAATAAGTGACAGATAGCAGATTCATAGCGAAGTAATGATGTATAATCTCTAGATAATCATTCGATTTCAAGCACGGTGATTTGGTAAATTTATGCACTTGATGGTCCAGGAACAACGAGTGGCTCATCGCCATTTTCATTTTCCTCCAAAAGATTTAGTTGCATCGAACCACAGCTAACCTGAAACGAAATTGCTGGGAGAATAAACTGGAATTCAATAATTTTGATATACTAAAAAGTGTTGAGGGACTTTATGAATGGTTGTCTGAAACTTCAAGCTTATTTTTTGTCTCCACCCTTTTATTTTTACAAGTTTGTTTTCACACTGAGATGCATTTTTAAATCAAAAGCGCAAGGTAACTATGCTTGAATTTTTGCCTTACGGAACTTGGGTGTACTTCATTTTGAGTACTTCAAACGTCTAGTATGCTTATGGTCTATATAACGTAAATATACTATATATGGAGTTAGTTATTTATCGTTGCAACTACATACTACATTTGGAGGTTAGCAATATGATTATAATACCTTGAAAGATTTACTCAGTAATGATCATCTAGAATCTGGTATGACTCTGTATTGAGGAAGTTGGACAAGCTCTTCATTTGCTTGTTTTCCAAAAATCTTGAGCTTCTCCAATTTCTTCAGCTTCCCCAGCAGGCTGCAACTCCAAACCTAACAATTTTCTGGCTATACATCTTTTTATTCCAGAACAAACTTATATATAAGTGCTTCAAAAATAACTTTCCCAGATCTTCTCTACTTACTCAGCAAGTTCCGGGGGAAAATTCGTAAATTCTTTTACTGGAGTTTTGTACTTAATTACCAATAAAAATCATTATTTCTTACTACTGCCATATTGCTTGAGAAAGATTGAGTGAACGAAACTAGTTGAAGAAATTCTCTTGTATGTAAAATAATTACTGAGTCAAAATTCTCATCATTTTTGCGTTCCTAGAAGTCAATCAGATCCCACAAATTCTCATCAGTCCTGAATTTGGTGCCACCTCATGCTGCCTCATAAAAGATTTATCTACACGCACCGATCATTGGTTCAAACCATGAAGGGGCTGTTTTGGCGAAATTGACGCTTGCCCAGATATGGATGACCATGATGGATGCGCATAAGCAAATTGCTCTTTTTGTTTATAGTCAGGCGTCTGCATCTGCGCTTTTTGTTTACGGTAGAGCGTCTTAGCTGCTCTTCTTGTTTGCGTACCTTACTTAACATAAACAGCTAGCAAAATAAGCTTTGCGCCGCTTTTGAGAGAAGTAAACACACTTGCATAATAAGGCTGAAGCTTACCTTATTTGTGGTGGCCAAATTGCTCATCACCATCACTTGTCCGAGCAGAAACGAATTTGGCTTTTCGGCCAGCGCACGCGTGGCTTTCACTCGGGCTTCCGCCTAAGAGAGCAAGTAGAGTAGCGGAAAGCAGCTTGACGAAGGCCGGCCGATCATGTTGACTCGAAAATTCGAGCCCCACGGCTGCTTCGAGCCCGTCTTACCTTTCGGATTTTCTCCGCACGTTGCTTTCGTGCCGAACTCGAACAACAGCTGCGTTTTATCAGATCGCGGAACAGCTGGAATATGCGAATGTTTCGAAAGAGAATCAATCAGTTCGGTCAGCCCGAGGCTGATTACTGTAAGAGTTAGCAAGGAGACATATAAAAAGTAGGCAGCACTTGACACAGACACCTGTCACTCAGCCTGTTCGAGCTATAATGAAGTACGAAATGTAGTCATGGCAATGAATACTCAACTTATTTTTCAAACAATTTGTCGCTGAAAGGATTCGTAATAATAAAATGAATTGTTTACGTGCTAGATAATGTCTCTTCTCATGAAGTACAGTAGCTACGCTCTTAAAAAGACACAATGTCAAAGACGAGTGCAGTCTAACAATCAAAATAAAATTCATAATGAGCATGATTTGATCGTGCCCTTGAGTAAAGAACATACAACTTCTTAGGTTACTTTTGTTCGATATTAGTTCGCTAGAAAAAAGTATTCTTATTCAAGACTGTTTCCTTAGAAATGTGTGATGTTTTGAAATGTTCGTTGCGTTTGTGTGATGCTGTTCCAAAAAAGTCAAAAATGCTATCGTTGTAAATGTTTTGATTACTGCTCGTGCTAGAAGTAAATGCCACTGTAAATCATATTCAACAGCAATATAATGGAGGAAAAAGTCTCTACAAATAGGCGGACAAAATTGAAAGAAAAGTAGGCTCATAAAGACCATTATATTTAAGCAAAGTAGTTCTTAAAAACATGGAAGATCTGCGTTTTTATTAATCCAGTCTAACAGTTGCTGATTCGAAGCTTTTAAGAAGTGGAAGATCCCTCATTTTCGAATAAAAATTCAAGCAAATTTTCTGTCAGGAAAAAAAAGACGTCGAATCTCCGCATTGGAGTGTAAGCGAATGTGCATCAAAACTCAAAGCAAATCGCTTTATATGTGGTCGTCATAGCAACATTCAATTTTTTCGCAAAGCATTTATTACTGAAGCACGTCTTACATTCCCATAGGCTCGGTTGCGTTAGCTAATGGACGGGACCACAGAAAAAGCTGTGAGCTGTAAGGCCATACTTTGCTTTGCTTTCCTGTGCATGGCTTGCATGTAAAAGCATTCCACACATTCGGAGGAGCGAAAATGGAAAGAATTTTCATCGGGATCAGATTAGGTGGGTGAAAGATGGTGCAAACTGATGTGCCGATACCAACAGTTGGATGTCAGTTGTTGCTTTGGGCCAACAAATAACATATTATCCGGGAAAGGGAGAAATTTTTTCGCACGAAACGGTTAACAAATAAGGACCCTTTTCAAAGTTTTAGGCAGACTTGAAATTGTTCAAGGATGCGTAACTTAGGGCCAGGGCTCGGGATAGCTGGCACCGGATCAAGCTGGATATTATTTTTGGGACAAAAAGCAAAGGAGATATCGTTCTTGGGCCGAAAACACACAAAAATTGCTATCGACGTTTCGTTTTTGAGGATTATTTACGTTCAGGGTTTAAGGTCAAAGGCGACTTCGTACCGAATTTTCAAGATCAAAGGGGACTTCTTTTGAAGATTCCCTAATGCCAGCTCGTGCCGAGCCCTGCTTAGGGCTCAAAGCCTCTCTGTTTCCCTCAGTTCTTTTTTCTCCAAATGGAGAATCCAGTGTTATTTTCGTCGCAATCTATGCTCCTCATAACGATGGAAAAACATGATTAGATATAAAATCTGTTGACAATCATGTGACAAGATTTAGAAGAAAAACATCAGGAGACAAATGTTACGATTATTCTTCGCTTATATGAATATATTATATAATCAAAACTTGAGTACGGATAAAGCAATAGGTAGTGGGCCTAAACATGCTTGTGCATATTTTTCATATCGTTTATTTTTTTTTGTTCGCTTCCTTTCACTCAAAAAAAGTTTGATACTTTAACGCTTTTCTGAGTTTCATTCATAAAAAGTAATAAAAAAGATAAATTAGTGCCTGCTTAAGCGAAACTTTAGTGCTAGTAATTTTCACCAACATTAATTTGAATTGTACCTGAATTGATATTGATTTTTTTATCGTGTAATCATCCTTTCCTTACCTTTTTCTGCTTTATCAGCTATGTACCCTAAAATTTTGTAGTACGCCTTAGTGCGCATAGAGTTCTTTTAATGAAAAATTTGAAAAATAACATTTGTCACTCTTTCAAAAGAGCCTTTTCGCATTTAATTCAAGCTGCTCTTCCAATTTTCTTTATTTCTTCTTACTCTCATCCTCAACACACTTATTTTCAACTCTACTATTATTGCCTACAGCATTGAGCTAGTAACTGCCGACAAATAAATCACCTTGAGATTTTCAGGACGAGACAAGAAGCCCTAGGGATTTATGTTTTAGCTACGAGAGCCAGCGGGCACGGATGCATTGTTTACGCCGGCTGTCAATAACTGCTTTCGGGAGGAAAATAGGGCAAAAATTGAGGAAGTTCGGATGTAGTGGATTGCCAGGTATTCTAAAAAACAAGCTAACATTGTGGAAAACAAGCATTTGAATATGCAAAGTAAGAAAAAGGAACGGAAGCCATTAGGAAGTTTACTAGTATTTGACAGCCGATTAGAAATATCGAGCTTTAGCTGATAGAGATATAAACATTAAAAAAATCCTGCCTATTTTTAGAATAATTGAAGTTGACAATTACAGTAACTTCTTCAGCTGATTGTAATCATTGAAATGCCTGTCGTAGCTACAAAGAAATCCCTAATTTTTTCGCTTTTTTGCAGCTTGCTTTTCAATCCTTTTACCAATTGTTAAGCTGTCATTTCAATTCACAGAAAAAATGCAAACTGCATGACATTTTTGCGCAAATTTATGATCGTGGCTAAAGTCTCAAGAGTATTCAAAGCTGTTCAGCTGTCGCATCGTCACTGAAAGCTCTGTCACTTGGGAATGAGCTTTCATTTGTAACAAACTGATCACATGGCCGAAAACGAGAACGAGAGCCGTAATGGGCCGAAAAAAGCCTAAAAATGTGCTAGCTAGCGCCAGCCTAGGTTCATTTTACATGGATGAAATGAGATGGACGAAGCAATGGAATTGGAGCCTATGAATCGCTTAGAGGGCCATATCGATGCTTGGCCATCTATTTAAATGCAAATAGAGCTTCGAGAATTCCGTAATATTTCCATCATTGGGTATAACCATATTTTGAACCTTGAATATGCAGCATATGTCATGGTAAAGCACATGAACGCTGTCTTCTATCGATGATTCATGTCCATGCATTTAAGATTTTGAGCACCAGTGCTATGGATTCGGGAAATGGGTGCACGTAAAGTCGGAGATAATACTGAAATTATATCCGAGGGCAGCACGATTATCAAGAGATTTAGATGTGGAGGCAAGTAAGGGAACAATCTCAAAGAATAAAGGAGGACTTTGATTTCTTTGAGTGTCAGCGAATCATTTTCTACTAATTAGTATGCAGCATCAAAAAGATAACAAATGGCTCGTTGCAGCCTTTATAGCATAAGTGCTTACATCCTTGCAAATAATCTTGCAGTACAAATTTAAAAAAATCCATCTGTTCCTTTGCGGAAGTCTTGGACTCAACAACGATTACGGAAATAGTTATCTAACAGTATTGAATAGGTAGTATTTCAGGTTCTCGTTCAAATTTTTTTCCACATTTGCAGGGACGGAAACTAACTTGTCCTCCTTAGCTTGCAAAATCTAACTGCCCCAAAAACAGGGAAATGAGGTAAAAACTCAGTTGCAGGCTGCCAGCAGCAACTTATACGCATCGTAATTTCGTATTCCATGCATTTCATTGTTTTGTATTCCGTTCAAGTATGGAGGTTGCAATGTGCAAAGTCGGTTATTTTTAGTTTTAGACAATCCTCTTTTTTAAAGCGGGCAAGAGGAAAGGCTTAGCGAGGGAAGAAACTCTAGACGCTTTTCCATAAGATTGACTCATAAGGGCACTTCCAAAATTCCTCCGTTTATTTATTACGCTTATTTTACTTGAGGTGTTCCCAAAAAGAAGAAAATAGTAAGTCAAAAACAGCAAAGTTATCAACACGGCAAATAAACTAATAATAAATAAAGATATTTTACCTAGATAGATAAGATATTTTACCTTTGTCTCAATTGAAAATCGTGTAAGTCGGAATATAATTCATAATGTTGAGAAAATTACAGTTACTGCATTTCATCAAAAGCTGTGATGATAAGAAAATATTCAAAAAGTGTTTTTTTTCAAATTTTGATTTTGAGTAAATTTGAAAATTGCGATACGATCGACTTGCTTTTCTTTTTGGAGTTTTTTCGATTCACTCAAATTTAAAAATGTTTTGCAAAAATTGCAATTATTAAAATTGCAATTGCTGAAGAACAAAATTTTGTTGTGATGTCAGTGCTTGGCACGAGGTGGCTTTTGGAAAATGCAAAAAAACGAAGTCCCCCTTGAATTTCGCTAATTTCTACGAAGTCCCTTTGATCCTTCACCCTAAACGTAAAAAAAGTCGACCAAAAAACTTCACAATTTTTGTTCTTTTCGCTCAAAAACGATACCCCCTTTGCTTTCTCACATCGATATCCAGCTTACAGCCACCTTTGCCAAGCCCTGGTGATGCTCTGTGCAGCTAAGAAATTTAGATATTGCGTTGATAGTTTTAAAGTTCAGTACCAACTTATCACACAAAACTGATGATGGTTCTTTCTAAAAATTCGCTAATTCTGTTAGGCACCGATAATAGCCGTTTTTAGGAACACCTTAGAGAATTCCAACGGCTCTCGCTGACGATAGAATTGCTCTGCTTCCCAGCGTAATTGATGCTTTGAAGGATATGCATGAGGAACCACGTGTGCTGTTTCGCGAGCCGAGCAATTCCGCCCGAGCCAGGCCACATAAATTCCAGTATAATTGAATTAGCACAGCCTGAGGCTATGCGAATGCTTGCACGGGACCATAAACAATTAGATTTAATCTCATTTCTGTGCATAGGGTTTTTTTTCTATGGATTTGTGCAATATGCTGCGGATATCTGTCTAGGAAAGAGAGGGCAACGAGCCAGGCGCGCTAATTGTGAGCATTGTTAAGTACACATGGGCATTATAAATGTTAGATGAACTTGCTGACAAGTTGTCTTGGAGAATATGGGAAACCATGCATTGTATGTCGAAAATTGAAACAGGAAACTACAGAAAAAATTGAAAACTGTTTAAGCGAAAACCGGCAGAGACACGTGCCCAAACAGTGTCGTTCTCAAATAACTGTTTCTTCTGACAAGCTGGTCCTGGAAAGATATAACTTGAACAAGCCTTCTGCTGCTATAGGAAATTTTCAAAAGAAGAAGGGCAAGATGTCTGGCAAAAAGTCGGCAGAGTCACATGACTTTTGGAATCTTTTTCAAATATTTGCTTTGCTTTTCATTTTATCGCTTACTGGTTTCCGAGAATCTCAACTACTAGAAGAAGCAGATTATAATATATATAATATATATTAGGTTAGCTAATAAATACTTTCGGTCGCTTTTGCGGCTCCCACAAAACCTGCAGATTATTTTTTTGCTCAGAATTCGGTATCTCTGGAAAGAGCACTTCAATGAGGGTTGGAATGTAAAATCTGTTTGAGTAGGATCAATTTCCAATGAAATGAATCCGCAAAGGAATGGGAAACTTTAACTTTCTCATTGTGCACGAATATGCGAAAATTTGGCTTTTTTAATCAAAGAAATACAAAGTGACACATCACAATTTTTATTGTTATTTGCTAAGTAGGGGAAACTTGTCCGTCTCCAATTACCAAATTGCTGTTCTCTACATCCATTACAGCAAGAAAACGAAGCCTAGAAGTGGTGGACGAGACTTTGGAATTTGAGCCATATTGGGCTAAATTGTCCCTTACTGATAATCGAAAATCCTGGGTAGTTGACATGTGATAGAATAAGTTTCAAGCTACATTTCCACAAAAAATTATGGATAAACTCAACTAGGAAAGTTTTTATGAAGATTTTTATGCCAAAACGAAATTTTTAGCCAGCCTAAAATATCTTTTTCCCTTCAAGTAGGAATTGAAATATAAAATTGCCATTATTTTGATGCAATGATATTCATAAAGATTTCTGTCCTTTTTCCTTGTTTTTCCCTAATTATTCTGCGGTTTTTAGCCGACTCCTACTCTAGGAAGAAAAATTACCATAAATAGACGTTGCTGAATAGACCATAGCTTTATGCACTTGGTATTTTCATCACAGTTTCTAGACTTGATTACCCCCAGCCTAAATTGCATTTGTCAGAGACGCACTTCCTCGGAGAACAGGGTAGTGCAATGAACTAGAATAACTCGATGACCGTCCTTAGTTTTAGAGGAGCTTGAGCCATTGTTACAGCTTTCAAGACGGCTGATGTCTGATGCATTCAGAAGATAGCAGAGTTACAATCCTAAGCTTTTAGACGAATGACCCCCTACTTGAAAAGACGGAAAACCGCATGCATGTAAATGTTTGCACTATAGACAATAAGGTTGCCTAAGAAACCGACATTTGAATGACAATTATTCTAGAAAACTGATGCAGCTCATATATCAGAGCAAAAAGTAATGTTGTTGGGGGAGGGGGAGATTAAAAAATATTTTTATTGATTTAGGATAAGCGCTGATTCTAGTGAGTGCATAAGTCAGCTATTCTGGCAGCGGATATTTGTCGAAAGGGAGAGAGATTTAGTAGGATGACTAAGTAAAAAAACTAATGACGCAGATTAAGTTCGTGTCTTATCCTATGGGTTTTATTTTATATTATTTGTTTGTTTATTGCAAAAAGTGCACCAATGGCAAGTAAAAAAGTCTAGACAGTGGAATTTTGAAAGATTGAACGAAAAAAATACCATACTATCATAGAAAATATGGGCTTAGTAAAGGTAGCCAATTTTAAGTGCTGTAATTCCAATGTCATTTTATGTTGGCGTGGTGATATTAAGCTTTTTGAACCATGTGATTGTTATTTGAGAATATTTTTTCTAGTAATGGTTTTATTTTTTTTTGCACTGAATTCAATTTTCTTTCTGATTTCGTAATGAACATTGCTTAGAGTTTCTGAATAGTCATAGTCGCATTTTTTGTGCGACAAATAAAATAAATAAAATAAGGTTGCGATGAATGAAATAAATGAAGTAAATAACACCTATACAGGAAAGCCCAAAAAATTGAATCCCTTACTAGACAAACCAACTCTATCACATGCTTTCATATGTTAGCCTTGTGTAGGGTGTCTCTTAACTTCAAGGACATCCTTCATTATCAGATGAGTCTCTCTGTCCACGCTGAATTGCCGCCGTAGAAGAAGTGGAAATCCATCAGGGAAATTGGATTCCGGTGACAGTAGGAATATGCGCTCGCTAATCAAGCTTCAGAGCAAAAAACGGCTCAGCGAGTGGATTTTGCGAGTGAATGTCTAGGTCTAATCCCATGCTTTGAAAGGATTCAGTAAGAAAGGGTGAGAGCGGAAGATCTATGATCTGTGTAAGAAGAGAAGAGAGGGTGTAAGGACATTAGTTTTCAATACAAATCATGCAGAACGAAGAAAAATGTTGACTTTATTCTATGTGCTTATAGCAATAATAACTTTTTTCGTTCTAATAAATATGTAGTAAATTGTTGTTGGCTTTCGACTCAAATTAACAACACAAAAGATTATTATAACAAGTGAAAAACGAAAGATCCGGGACGTAGCAGCAACGGTACAGCCCGGTTGAAAAAATCAAATTGAGCTTTATCGATTGAGGACTTTCGTAAGTGCATATGTTCTTAAACAGTTGAACGCAAATGTGTTCTCTTTGATGTAAGAATCGGTTCGTGCACAATATACTCAAAATGTAGGGTCATATGGCTGAGTGCTAGGCCGAAATTCCTTAAATTTGAAAAAAAAATCTTTTTTTTCTTTCCTGGGATGCAGAAATGTAGAAATTTTGCTCCAGCAACTAACGTAGAAAATGTGTAAGGAGAAGCTTAGGACAAAGCATGTTTTTTTTCCTTTTTTGCTTTTGAGTCTGACAAAGCCTATTGTCCACTAGAAAAACTCACTTGCGGTGAGGCGCAAATCAGTATGACGACCATCCATCCGAAAAGAATACCAAGCCCCAGAATGAAGATATTCCGAGCTTCAGGATTCATAAATCAGCGTCGAACAGAGCCGAACGTGTGTGTGAGTGTGTACGTCTTCTTGTGAGTTGGTGTCAGCGCAGAAACATTCGTGACAAAGGTGAGACGACGGCAAGTCGCACTCGCAACGATGTTCGACTGCCGCAGGGCGTGGCGGCCGCAATCGTATCTCGCGAGCCAGGGCCCCGCGGCTCGTCGTCTCAACCCCGGCCCCCGTGGACTACACACGCACCCTCGGGAAAAGCGACCACCACACGACTCGCCCACGCCCTAATGGACCGACCGACCGACCAGCATGTGCTCCGCCGCAAAAAGCACGCCTGAGTCGAGTTCGGCGAGAACTCGCGGATTAGGGAGCGACTGGAGAGCAGGCGATGAAATGGCCAGGACTTTGCAGAACAAAGAACGCTTGGATACAAACTTCTCTAACCCGACAACAATCTATTGCATATATTCTGCAGGATTAGAACAATTTTCTGAAAGTTTGAAAACTAGCTCATACTCATCAAGTAAATTATACCTTTGAGACAGTGGCGGAGGGAGTGGAGGAGGATAGGCCGAAAATGTTTGCAATTTTTTTTGCAAGTTGCTCAAATAAGTTATAGTTTTCGCAAATAATTTAATTTAACTTGCAAGCAACCGGAACAATCTCTTTGAAAATTCTCTAAAAAACTCGCATTGAAGAAGTTCTTCCTCTACGATTTTGGAAGCACGACCGGCAAATTTAGAAAACACCTAATTTTCAAGAACATGGTTAATTACACTTCAGTTGACTCGGAAATTTCATAACGCCCCCCCCCATCCCCTAGAAAATATTTCTGACCGCCACTATTATGAGACTATTACCCCTGTGAGCCAAGTTTTAGCGAATCTTGAGTGCTCCCAATCAGGGCCCGACACAGATCGTCTGGAAGCAGGTTCTTCGTTTCCGGGGCAAAAAAGCAAAGAGTTATCGCTTTTATGGTTCTGAAAAAACAAAAAAACTAGGTTTCTTCTAGTCGACGTTTCCGTATTGGGTCAAAGGGGAATTCTCGAAATTTTGCCAAAGTTAGAGGGGACTTCCTTTTCAAAAAGCCTAGAAACGGACTCGTGCCGGGCCCTGCTCCCAGTATTAGGCCACTCAAGTGCAATGGTCATGGTTAAATGGTCAAAAGCATTGCACTTTGTCTCGTGTTACCACTTGAATAAGCTCAGATAATTAAGTAAAAAAGCATTTCAGTATAGTGATGTGAAATTTCCAAGCAGGGTAAACAAAAGCCTTGCTTGGTGCGATTGCGGTTGTAATTCCCGCGCAAAAAAAAACAGATTTGGGCTCCTGAGATGTAAATACAAAGACAAGAGAAAAAAGATAAAGACAAACTAGGAAATGTGCGCTGTATGGGTAAAGATAAAGACAAAACTAAGAAATGTGTGCTAATGATGACCTTTCAATTTGCTAGGTCACAAGTTCTGCAGCTGTGCAAAAGTGTAACGGTGCTGAACATTCATTATCTCGATAATCACCTCATTAGACGCTCAATTTCCCGCTGAACTGTTTTTCATTGGCTTCAGAGCGAAGCAATAACCTTCAAGCCTATCTGCACACAGCACGAGGAAAAGGGTGAGCATTTGTTGCCGTCAATCATCCACGCAACGATCAGCTTCTCGTCGAAGATCAGCGATTGAAGCCGTGGATGTTGTAATAGACGGCTTGGAGCTGAAAAAGCGAGTGTTTTTCTCAATTTTCGAGAAGGTTAATGCGCTAAAAAATGCCTAGGGAACAAGGAAGGAAAGTTGCAAACGTGAGCAAGTGTGTCATCAGGGTATAGCTCTTCAGTGAATCAAGATTCAATATGTCTGAGCCGTCCATAGAGTTTTGGTATTGCACACATAAACATCCCCTAACATCCCATCCCCATGCACGAAAGTAATTCGGATTCTGCAAGCAAAAGTTTCTATAGCAAATTTTAGTTGTGACCCTCATGAAACAAGCCCAAAATGCTGCCAATGTTTTATACTGTTAAATTATATAATTACCTATACTTGGGGAAGATTTAGTCATTTTGCTCGTTTACTCTTCTATATGTAAGCAATAAGAAAATCGAATTTTCGAATTTCTTATTCCCTTCGTGTCAGCGCAAAGAGGTCGCAAAGTTATATTCATTATTGAAATGTGCACGCAACTTATTATCCCTATGAGGTTTTCTAGGCTAACTATGACTTTCGGTATTGCTCTTGCAGTTTTTTTTGAGAATTCATTTGCTGTTTGCTAAGCTTTTGATTGTTGGAGCGGCACAAAAATAATGATACTTAGCATATGGCTCGATATATCCTAATGTGCTTTGTGCTCACCTGCAGTAAGATTTGATTAGACTTTCTGTCTCTATGAAGTCCTGACACATTGCTCAAGTGCGGTATTTAAGAGAGTTTCGAGCGGAATAGATGAGCAGTTTTTGAAAAAAAAAAGACCGTGAGTTAGGATCAGACCCAGAGAGGTTGCACGATTTTTCAGGAAAAGAATCAATTTCAAAGAACACACAACTATGAAAATATTGGCAATAGTCTTTTCTTTGTATGCTTTTTTAACTTCAGATGCAAACTGTGAAAAAAGTAAAATTGTCTGGAATGAACAAATGTGGGAGCGAGCGTCGAAGATTAATTGTATAGTATATATGAACTTCGATTGACTAAAGCAAAACCTTTAGCGTTATGAACACGTTAACTACCGCTTGACTATCATCAAAATGGAAACTTTCTTGGGTCAAACCCACTTTGGGAGCTTTCCTTCGTGGTGGATATAGATATAACCTCCACTGTTTTTGTCAGCTTCTCAGCGCTATTGTAGGTATGCTATAAACGGGATTAAACGTGATTTTAATGATAAAATGATGAGTGATCCGTAAAAGTCGTCAGTCTCAATTGTTAAGGTGTTAATTGCCACGTCGCGCGAGAATTCCTTGAAAGACCGCGCGACGGCGTCAGTCCATTTTTCAGTCACCGCTTTCTTGATTTGGCCTCATCCTAGGTGTCTGCTGTTGCTTTATTATCACACATCTGTCGTCTCCCAATTGTTTTCCGTAGCTTGAGGGTCACTATGTTTTTGTTACAATTATTCTTGAAAACGAAAATCCACAATGCTTGTACGTAGAAGCTGTGCATCTTACATATAAAGCTGAATGAGTGTCTGTATGTACTTATGTGCGAGATAGAAATTTTCATTTCTGAACCGATTTGGACCAAACGTGGCACACATACACTTTGGGGCGGGGAGTGTGTCACAGGCTACTTTTCGTCATCGATCGATATCGATTTTGTCGATTTTTATCGATTTTTTTGCAGAGTTCACCTACAGGGCTTGGAGTTGGCAAAGGGGGGGGGGGGTGAGTGGGCGTGGTGATACCGAATACAATATTAGTTTCCAGAATTATCGATTACTTTTATTGATTTTATCGATTTTTCAAAATTTGAGCTGAAGAGCTGGGAGTTGGCACAAGGGTAATCAAGCATGCTAATATCGAAAACAACACAGGGAACGGGAAACGAAGTGTAAAAGTGGGCACAGGGAAAGGCTGTGCGAGGATAGGATTTGACAGGGCCGAGCGGAGCCGGGTAAGCAAGCTAGTATCTCAATAAAAAGATATATTAGAAAAAAATAGTAGCAAAAAATAATTTTTCTTTTCAAGCTTGAACTTTCATTGTTCATCTCATCCTTAATGAATAAAAGGACTTTCTGTGAAATCATACCTGAAGCGCTTCAAGTGCATCCAGTGTCTGTTCCGACATAAAGCGATGCTTTGGCGTTTTATTCTTTTTACTCCTCGGAGTGGAAGAAGCAGTTGAGCCATAAATAACAAGCTAAGATAAACACCACAGAGTAGCACATCCACGATGACAACGAGCATTTTGAAGTACGGCCGGACATAACAACAGCTTGAAACTAACGGAAAATTGTAACAAATAACGAAAAAGGCTGACCAGGAGTGATCATTGCCCTAAAATTTGTTGAAGAGTCTTTTTAAAGCTTACATTTTTTTGCTTTAGAATCGTATGGTTTCTGGAAAAGTGTGAGAAAATTTAATTCTGTGCATTGGACTTGGAGTCGGCAGATATGTAGGGCTTGTCAGTTTTAGCAAAACCTTCCAATCCTGCTTACTAGTGAGCGGGTTAGTCAATGCGCGGATAATACGGCATATATTCAGGACTTATCAATTGCAGAGTCAGGTGCATAATCATCTCCACCCGAGGCCGCCTCGCCTGAATTCTGCACCTCTTTCGCGAACAAGTCGTTTAATTCTTTTCCACACGTGCGAAAGACGGAGCTTCAATCGCTAATTAAGCGTGCGAAGATGATTAGGGAGCATACTCCCCAAAGAGGCACAGAGTCCAGGCGAGGCGGCCACGCGCGAGCGGAGATGCTCATGCATCGACTCTGCAATTGAAGCCCTGTACATTAGATCTTATGAGCAAAACTTTGAATGTGCAACCAGGATAGAGTTACTCGTGACATTTTTCTTAGGGATTGGTCATACCTCGTCACCGCGCGACTTCTAATTGCTACGATTGGTTATAATCTTCTGTAAGCAATATTTGACATGTACGCATAAGATCACAGAAGCTATGCACCTACTCATTTGAATTCTACTCGCGGTAGATTTGCGGACATATGGCAAATTGCCAGATCGCGAATCGTTGCGAATTCGGAGAAATTGCGCAAGCTATATTCGAGGCTCTAGGGCTTGATTTGATTGTCAGTCATTCTGTCAATGAATACCCTTAATTAACATATCCACGTAAGGTAGCCTTATCAGAACGCCAGACAAAGGTTGTTCAGACACTGTTTTCACATTGATCATGCATTGAATTTTTTGCCCACGAGACCCTTCATAACTCTTTAACTCGGGAAAAAATTGGGAGGAGGCTCTTTGAAGCGACAAAAGGATTGGTGATTCGATAGTATGCACCACAGACCATTTACTTCCCATAATTTACTATTGTATCTTCGACGGTTTGCTGTGAACAGCATGCGGGTGCGGGAAGTTTCTCACCCGAGCCATATTCTCGCACCTAGGTGATGTGCCTGCCAGGTACATCCGAGCTCACTACAGTTACAAGTTCCTCAAGAGACCATGACATCGCAAGCCCCGCCCTTCATTTAGTGTTCGCTCCAGATGATGAAACCGGAATTTCAAAGAAGCTTTCTAATCGAAGTTCAGGGCCGGTAGTAATCCCCCCGACCTGACGGCAGGTCGCTGGCACCTTTTCCGTGAGGTGGCCAGAA